ACACCAACAAAACAATATCAAGATTCTCATTAAAACAGCTTGTACAAGTGATATCTGGAATGTAAGATTTCCTGCTAGGATTGGTAATGTGAATCAGTAGGAATAGACTCTGCTTCGACTACTTAAGATTTCTAGTTGGTTTATTATTCTTTCAGAAATTATATGGTATGGCCCCTACATCTACAAAAGCTTTTGTTTCCATCCCACTAACTCTGATGAGCAGATAGGGTGTGATACTGAACCATCTCAATTCATTAGTAGCATTGTTCCTTTTTGTGGATAATTTTGGCTAGATGAGGGTCAAAGGAATCATAAATAATCCTCTTGTCCTAAGGCACTAGAAAAAGCATGATTCTGATAGTCAGTAATTTGAATTGTTCCAGTGTGACAACTTCATTGTCATGATCTCAAGTTGAGCCTAAGGCACTTCATCCATGTCACGTAATATAATTGAATAGTGGGTACTAACAAGACTTACACCTTGAAGATGTTGTAAATTTTCCTTTTCTTTTGCTGCAGTTGGTTATATCTGTATTATAATGAAATCTATAATTATTACAAGTTTCTTTGCATTACTACTTATACTGGCTGCCTGAGTCACTGAGATAGTCACTACTGGATTTCCAGGTTTGAAGTGGGAGTTTGGAACCAGCATAACATAAGCACTAGGCTTTGAAATTAGCCTTATATTGGTTTCGTTACCTGATCTTTCTTTTTCTAGCTTTTAATTTTGGTGGCTGAAATATATTACTATTGAGGTAAAATGAGTATATATGACACTTTTAGGGATGAAGTTTTCATCATAACTAGGCATGTCTCCACAAGATGCTGTGTCACCATAGCAACACAATACGGCAACGTAGCACCAATAGGCACAAACCATGATGCCACAGCTACATCACGGTAGTGCATTACTACAATGATATAGCTGCTAAAAAGAACCATGTGCTGCCAGCATGGCATAGTAACAGTTATTACTGAGCTGTCACTTATGCCGCTGGGGCATATGTAGACACACCCACAATGTTCATGGTTTTGAACTCAATCCTGATTATTTCTGGAGCTCTGGATATGTTGGAAGGCGAAGAACATCTAATGACTGTTTGACTCCTCTTTGAGGGAATACTGCACTTACTTGTCTATTGACAACAATATACTTTTTGTAAATGGGGGAAAAAAAACTATGTAAGTGCTAATATTATAATATAATCTTAATATTATTTCCACTAATTTTCCTCTTTCCTCCCAGCAAAATACCCATGCCACTTTGATCCTTGACTAATATTAAATAATGTTGTGCTGATGACAACTATAAGTCTTTTTACAGGCCTTTTAAAATTTGGCTGTAGGTTCTGTGTTGTAAATGTGTATTTAGAAACTGTAGTAGATAATTTATTGTCAGATCTACTGATTCATAGGATTTCTTGGGGAAAATATCTGAATGTGAGTATAATTTTAGTATATTAGTGAGTCTCTAGCTCTAAGATAAGAAGTTTGTGTGCCCAAGATTTAGTTTTTAAGATGGAAAAAATGTTAATGCTTCCCCCACTCTATGTAGGGTTCTATAAGTTCATATATACTATGCCTCTTTGTTTTATTCTATCTATACTTTATTCTATTTTTAAATCTTTTTTATTGACTTTAAAATGCAACACAATAATAAAAATACATATATTTCAACTATCCGTGTCCATTTCAACCTGACCTGTGCATGTCCACCACAAACAATAGGTAATAAAAGGGAAAAGAAAAAAAAAGGAAGGAAAAGGGATGGCTAGCAGAAGAAAAGGGAAGAATTCAAGGAACACTAATTTAGTTACCAAAATATTCAAAGAACTCTTTCCAAATTGCACCGAACTTTTCAAAGCACTTAAAACTGCTAAACACGATTCTCTCCATAAATGCCAGCTGTGCCATCTCATCCTACCAGATTTTGACCTTTAAAGATGTCTGTAATATGTTCCTGCATGTCACTAATAATGCCATACACAAGAGTGCAATCTGGGAAAGATTCAGTTGGAATTCTTTAGGTATAGACCCAAGAACTCGTATTTGCCAAAGATAACAGTACTGCATTCAAACCCACGTTAACTCTACTCATCGTTTCTTTCAAAAAAATCATTGATAATAGAGCATGACCAAAACATGTGACCAATAGTTGCCTGTAGTGCATCACATTTATCTACTGGTAGTATATTTAAATTTAGAGGAAGCCCAGCACAGATGAAAAATGCTCTTTTGTTGTATAAACAAAGTCTAAGAGCAGTTGTCTCTAAGTTTCTGGGAAGCCAATACATTGCCTGTGAGACAATATCAAAATCAAGGTAAAAGCTAAGAAAAGATGGGAATTCAAAGATGGCTTTTGAAGCCCCCCATAAATACCTAAAAAAAGGCCTGTAGCCAACCCTATTTAGGATGATCTCAGGGGACTGATTCAGGTTCAGGGGACCATGAACCTGAGTGGCAACATCTCCAGGTAATCCAAAAGAAATGCAAGAAAAAACAGAAATTGTCACAGAATAAAATACAGAGTTGTTTGGCCTGTTAAGCATTTCTTTCATATTTAATTATGCACATGCTGAGTCAAACAATTAAATGAGGAGAGGAATAGGTTGTATAAGTTGCTGTTTCTTCCAACACATCATATAAATGTAACAGAGCAGAATTTCATACTAGTGACCTAGAGTGCCAGGATCTAGTTACCAGGTTGGCTTGCACACTATTGTCCCAAGCAGCAATTTAGCCAGGCTCAAGCTGGCTGACACGTATCTTGAGATGGGCAGTGTGCACCATCTGGGAGTACATGCTGTTTCCTTTTTAACCATCACCACTCACCCTGAGTCAAAATATAACAAGGAAGAGGGAAAACGTTTCAAACGTTTTTGCTTAACATTTAGAACCAGTATTTTTACTGTGAACGTAACATGTCACCCACACAGTAAGAGTGATAAGCATTAATTTTTGAGTGCAATGGGTTCATACAGTGTGAAGTCCACTTAACAAAAGTCATGTATTCCTACAGATAGTTATACATCTTAGGAAAGTAACGATGTAATATACTGAAAAGTAACTGACACTTGCCTAACTACATACATTTCAGAAATGACCACATTTCTTGTCATGGTACAACAAGACATTAATCAGAGCACATATTAGAATAACATTATTTTACAGAAGTCAAGTCAGGGTGGCATCTTGGAGACTCAGAGAGGTTCAGAGAGGCATAAGCTTTCATAAATGATAAACTACTTCATCTGATGCTATGAATGGAGTTGCAGAGAGTAAGGGTTCTACACAGAAAGCAATTTAAATACAAAGGCTATAAATTATTTTTGTGTATACTTATACTTTATAATCATCAATATCTCTAAATAAGTTATTACTGTAAAATTGTTTTACAATAATAATGACACTGCTGCTTAACAATTTTCTTCAGTGACCAAAAAAAGGTTTATATTCAGCACCCTGTCCCTAGTCAGCAGTGGTGTAACAAGCAGGGACAAACCCCACAGGGTAGGGGTGCACACAGATGTTGAGAGCAAGGGGCACATGGGTCCCAAGGGGGAGAGGTAGGAGGGGCCAGCAGTCATATCCATGTCAGGGACTCCTAAACAGTCCCCAGCTGAGCTTCTGCTGGTGCACCCACTTGCTCTGCCTGTCCTGGCCGTTGCTAAGGTGGCTTTAACAGCAACTAGAGACTGTTTTGGAGCTTCCAGCATGGGTATGCTGCTGAGATGTGGACTCTGTGGGGTGGGGTATGATTTTGGCACCCGTTCTAACTTGGTGCCTGGGGTGGGTATCCCCCTAGCCATCCCTAGTTATGCTATTGCCCATTAACGTAATTAAGCATGCATCTAAAACCTTTGCTGAATTTGGGACCTCAGATATCAGGATGGTTTTTTTTCTTATCTGAGATGGCTGGCACTTCATTACGCACCAGACAAAAAAGGTGCATTTCACAGATACCAAAACAAATACTCTTGAATAAGGGTTTTTCTTTAAATGTGGTAATATAGAAATTGTTCATCACATAAAAGTGGCTGCAAAGAATAAAAAATTAACATCTATATAATTAAAGATTACATTTTAAAGAGGTCTCACTCTTGGTCCTCACCTATCAACACATGTAATATGAAGTGAGGATATCAACTTTCTGAATAACTAAAATGTAACAATTTCAAAAGTCTGCCCATTTAGTCCTCTTGTTATGCTGCCTATTCTTTATTTTATTTGAACCATTTGTCATATTCTTTCATGTCAAATAAATGGATATATAATAGAGATGTCCAAATGGTCGACATGTGAGGGAAACCAAGAATAGCCCAGTGATTAGCTAGTTGTCTGGAGTGGGGGAAACTATTTCAGGGACCTGTTTCTGAAAATCAATTTGAACCTG